AACTTTTAGAACAAGATGGGGGAGACACAGAAAGTGAAAGGAAGGTCACAGATAAAGCTACAAATTCCAAAAACAATGGAAAGGACACCAAAAACCAGCCCAAAGTTAGTCCTTACTTCTCTGACTCAGGCTCCTCCCCAAATCCACCCAAAATAGGAGATAAAGATACTGACAAAAAGAAGTGGACTCCACCCAAGTCACCATATCATCTTGTACAAGAAACGCTGTTTCATGACCCATGGAAACTGTTGATATCTTCAATATTTTTGAATAAAACTCAAGGTGAGAAAGCAATTCCTGTTCTATGGGAGTTCTTCAGAAGGTATCCAAATGCCGACGTGACTCGCTGTGCTAATCCTAAGCCGATAGCAGGTAATGGAAAATCACAAATGATAATGTTATTTGTGTATTAGAATTATAGTGAATTAACTCATTCCTGTCCGTGATTTATTTCTGAATTTAGGTTGTTTTTGAGACTGATATTTCAAAATATTAAATGTACCCCATATTAGGAGTTGTCAATCAAACTATTGTAGATTCACATTCTTCTGGGTTTGTTTACTTCAGCGACGCCTGGCGAATTTGAGACGCCTCGCTAAATTAGCCAGCACTAGATATAAAAATTCCCCAAAAACCATTTTTAAGGGATTTTTCGAGTCATTTGCTGCGACAGAAAAGCCTCTAGGACTGCATTATATAAAGCTCGACTAGGCGGCAGAGACACTCTTCTGGAAGAAATCAGAAGCGGGAAGTGAGTTTTCGAAGACAATGTCGCCAATACGAAGTCAGCTTTGAATTGCCGACGCTCAGGAAAGGTCGCCTCCCTAGTCGTTCTGTGGGAGATTTCAGAACCTACCAAGGTAAAATTGGCAATTTTTTACATCCAAAGAATGCAATCGGTGCAATATTTTGCCTGTAGGTGCGAGTGGCTTGACACAAAAATCTATGAAAACAAGACCGTTGGGTGCTCCCTGTCAAGTTTGAACCTTACTCCCATGATGCAGTTCGAACGCGCAAGTGAGAAATCTGTGTTTTCTGAGCTGGGTCTCAAAAAGGGGCCTGTGGCTAGATCTGTGGAGAGTTCTACCAAACAAAAAAAGCCAAAATTCTAAAGACGTGGAGTGGCCGATTTCAAAAACCCTGGAATTTCGATTTGCAAAAGATGATTTCGACTATAAAACTGAAGACGAAGAGACGTGATTCTCTACCTTATCCGGTGCAGCAAAAAGTCGAAATTTAGGCATTCCTATTTTTCAGGGGTCCTTTTTGCCCAGATATCGCGCCCGATGTGAAATGTTTTCAACTCTAAGATAGACTTTTGGTACTAGCTGTTGACATGGAGTACATTTGGTTGTCTTCATTTGCGCTCTCGGAAACTTACAATTTTTAGAAACATCAGTACGGTAGTACTGATAATTCTTAAAGCGGACAGTAAAGAGTTAAACAACATTAAAAATTCAAGTTCAAATGTTTTCAAGTAAGTTGACCTACAGCTGTATCACAGAACAACAGTTGAAATTATTTATTTTTATTAGAGCTCACACACTACTGTAGAAATGTTTCATTTGACTTAGACCGTGATTCATCAAGGAGATCAATGAGAAACTGACATGTCTATTAGCAATAACAAAATAATGAGGTTACATGTAACTATAGGGGAGTAATTTCATAGTTAACAAAGTCCACAGAGATAACCTTCATAAATTATCCAAAGAGTATATATTAATATGTTAATCTCATAATAAAATTGTTTTTAAAGATTTGATGAGACCACTTGGTCTGAATGAAAAAAGAGCCAAAACTATGATCCGTTTCTCAGAGGAATTCTTGGCCAGAGATTGGACCTATGCTGATACACTATATGGCATTGGAAAGTATGGTAGTGACTCCTATAGGATCTTTTGTCTTGGAGAATGGAAAGATGTGCAGCCAAAYGATCACATGTTGAACAAGTACCATGCATGGCTCTGGCAACAGGAGAAAGCTGGTTTACTGTAAATATACCCATTAGATTCTATTAATATAAAAAAGATTCACATGGTTTTATAAAGATCATTGTCTTCCCATTGTAAATATATATCTATTTCAAAAAAGGTCATTAGTTAGTATTATGTTTTTGATGGATGGTTAACTTATCTGTTTAAAAACTAGGAAAAACCAATCAAACATCATTGAACACCTTGATTAAATGGAAGCAACAGTAATAACTGACTTTAATTTGTGAATATTGCCATTAATAATTAATAGCTATTATTACTTTTGTTCAGGTTTTCTCCCATATTGCAATAATCTTTTCTGAAATAGTTATATGTGCAAAAGACTAATCAGTACTAATTATAATTTAGTTTTAATATCATGTATTTTAGTTGTTTTGGTTTTATTATAAGACAGAATATCATGCGATTGGTCTTTCTTGACAACTCATACCACTGTTTGTGGAAAACACCTAAAAATTGTAGTTACAGCAGTGATTTGTGATCATCCAATCACTGGATTCATAACCAACATTTCCATTTACTGGTCCTCTTAAAGGGACACTGTCAAATGGCACGCATGCGCGAGTAAACTTGAAAACATTAGGCTAATAGACGAGTAAAGGTATCCTTTAGCAGCATGATTGTGATCAGAAAAAGAATGTATACAAATGTAGCCAAGGCTGCTGTGATGGATTCACTATATACATTTTCAACATCATAGCAGCCTTGGCTACATTTGTATACATTCATTAGGCTAATGTTTTCAAGTTTATGACTCTAAGTTGGCGCGACACAAATCAGCTCGTAAACGTAAACAGATCTAGAATATTCCAAAGTGTGTCAAAAGCACCACAAAATGATTTACCTTGAAGGTAATACTTTCAAAGTCCGTTAGAGGCGAGACTGTGACTGCGCATGTCATCCATTGACAGTGTCCCTTTAACCCACTTGTGGAAATTGCACTTACATCATGTGAACACATTTTGAAAAAAAGTCYTAACAGTGTTCTGGTAACGTAATTGTAGTTGTAGTTGTTTTAGTATTTAATTGTGTTACAAATAAGTCAGAGGACAATGTAACTTTTGGTGTCTAAGACTAAAGAATTACGTTTTAATTATGACCAGTAGAGAAGAATGAGTATTGTAGTTTTAAAATCAGATGCTATCTTCATACTAATTGGTAAACATTATTGAAAAGTATTGTTGTAAAACTACTCGTTTTGATGATGTAAATCCTATGGAGTCCCCATAACAGGAATGATCGTCAAACCAGAATACAATGAGAATATTAGAACGTGGGTCTGGCAGCATAACATTTACCCCTAAAAGATACCAAATAAATGTGAAAAATTATAGTTTTTCTTTTCAAGATGTCACACCTTTTTAATARTTCCATAATCATGACAACTGTAATAGGGACAAAACCTTTTTTTTTGTACTCTTGTTTGTCAATAAATAGCCACGCTAAGATACCCTCATATGACGATCCTCTCTGTGTGACTCCAAAGAGCGGATTCCGCCTGATTCCGCCTAAATGCAAATGTACAATTGTTGAGTTGCAAATAAAGATATAAGATGGACAGACAAGTTTTCTTGTAGCAGTTACTCTACAGTCAATAGCAAGACCTCGGATGTAAATTTTATATTTACAGCCGYTTACATTTAGATCGTCTTAGTCTCTTTTTTAAATCACCGAATTTGACTTGTTTCCAATTCAGTGCAATTAATTGGTKCAGGCCGTAGTCGAGAGAATGAAAGAAAAGGCCGCTCGAAAAGTTGCTTTGTTCATTTCAAATTTGATGGATATTATAGTAACAATKACATGTAAAATCACTCAATTTCGACGAGTTGATTATCGTCCGCTTTATCAGTATAGCATACATCRTACATTTTCAAGTGTTAATAAGTAAGTTAAGTATTCTTGAAAATCTCATTAGYCCAGTGCCCCACCATGAACTCAGTAAAAACAATAATACAATCTATAGTATTACTAAATGAAWTTTTTACGGATTGTAGGTTATCGAATTGTTTTTATATTAATTCATTTAACCTAAATCAATCTTTAGACTAATATCTTTGTTCCATTGCTGTTCTTGTATTTTTCTTATACGAAAAAAATCGTGCAAAATATGTAAAATTCATTCTGTCAATTCACACCACAGCTTGATAATTACCCTAGCTAAAGTTGGCCCACAGCTCCGTCTGTGCCAAAAATCAATTGTACTCTGGAAAGAAAGTTACGGATGTGCAGGTAATACTCTAGCAACATAGCCGTCTTAGTTGACTAGTGGAAGGGATTTGCTTCAAACGCCTTTTTAAAATTCGCTTCAAAACACTGAGATACTTCAACTTTCCGAAATCATTTTCGATGTTCATGAATTTGTAGGTAAATCGCATTTTTGTAGGTTTAGAACTGTAGAGTTAGAGAATKTTGTCGTTATTTTCCTATCAAAGTGTACGAGTCTATTCAAAATTCCATTCAATTCCCTTTTTTAGTCGATTTAGTTATTAATACGCATGTGYTTTTGACAACTTACTCGTCTTAGTATGTTATGAAATAGTATCAAATTGTTCTGGTTGATGGCGTAGTTTGTTAAAAATGCTCGTTCAAAATTKATTATAAGTTTATTTTTACAAGCTTGTGAGTTAATTTAAGGTCCGTTTACACTTGCAATTTTTGCGCGACAATCGCCACTTTGTTCTCTCGCACCTCAAATCGCACGTGTAAACAGCCCTGCGATTGTCGCRGCGATCAGAAATCGCCGCGAGTTGCAGCTAGGCACAAGCATGTTCGAAACTAAGGCGATTGTCGCGCGACAATCGCGCTGCAAAAATTGCAAGTGTAAACGGGCCTATATAGATGTATTTGTGCTGTCATAGGTCATAGGTGTTTATCAGGCCGGTCTCGCCCGTTTGGTGGAATAAGTGAAAGCCCTTCTATTACTATATATAGAATCACCTGTCGAAGAGAGCCCGTACAGAATGCTAACCTATATGTGAAAGGAGCCTTGCCGTTGAGCTTATCTGATTATTGTAAGTGATGCTAATAAGGACATAGCGTACATAACTGGTGTAGACAACTGTTGAAAAAAACAGATTGAGTTTTTTTTTTTAATTTAATTCTTTACAGCAACTAAATAACCATAGAAAAATAAGTCAGGTGAAATCATTCGGCATTACATTAAGATTCTTCTCTGTCACACGGGAGTTTGTTTGTTTGCTTGATGTCATGTCTGGCCTGGAGTCGGGTTGTTCACCTTCCACTGATCAAGCCATTTGAACGGCCCGTTCGTAACATCCGCGCGCAACCCGCTGTCTAAGCATCGGATAGATAATCAGATTTCGCAACAATTAATGAAGAAACTTTGGGATGATATATCGAAATATGCAGTTTCAACATTGGCAAGCTCTTTACATTTAAAAAAGCCCAGAAAAGCCAGTCAAAACGATTTTGTCAGATAATAACAGAAAATACATAATTAGTAACAACATTGACAGAAAACCGATTAATAATTTATWKAATTCAATAAAGCGCGCAAGGCCTGCCAWTGAACGATAATGTCCCAATAAGTCAACAACTACCGAAATCGATTATTCAGGCTTAAGTAAATGTAATWTTTAATTAAAAAGACTATATCTGGTATATTCTCTCGAGAACATTGCCATCAAAAAGCTGACTTTCAAGGTATGGATTAATAAGAATGGGAGTGACTAGGCTTCACCACTATAGGTGAGCTGTTATTGAGTTATCAACAAAAGTCTTTTCTCTTTACAACAAAATGAAAGACGGCACTTAATTACGACTTAGAAAATCTCCCTCGACGCTGAGCTTGAAAGACTTTGAACTTTCATGAAACGATTGTACGCGTTTTCATTTATCGTAAAMATTTTGAACTAGAAAAACATTTCACAATCATATGATTTTTCTGATTTACTTCTATAAAACATCCATTTTCATCAGTTCAAGGGAAGTTTTTCGCTTTGTATTGATCCAGCAAAAAAGTTACTAATATATGTATAAAGCACTATATTCCATAAAACGACTTGGTGGMGGTAAATGGTGATTAACAGCAGCAAACATTTTTTAAATACACGTTGTAACTGCTATCTATCTTTTCAGTTAGAATACTWTATGCAGTGTTTCGTCTTACTTTCTTTTATTCGATTAGTGTTTTAGCTTTATAGCATCTTTTGTGACTGACGTACACACGTAACTGCATTCAGTTTTAAAGCTTGAAACTTTCAATTTCGGATTTCTTCTATGTTGCAGTGAAAATTATTTGCGCTCAAATACGCATTACAGTCATGAATTTCCAGAGTACAATTCCCACCAATAACTATAACACCCATTTCGTATTTTTCTGTTTTACAATTATCATCATGGCTCGTCTTTACGAGTGTTTAAAAAATAGAGAATAATGAAGGACATTTGCGTTAATTGGTGTTGGGGTGCCATGCAAGCTATATTTTTGGCGGGTGTTAAAGAAATTGTTGATGTCAACTTAGCAGGAAACGTTTGTTCATATAGCGAAAAGTCCGCTTGAACTGGCAGATCGACAAAAAGTGGCAGTTTCAATGATTGTTTGTCATCAGAGACTCGGGCTTTTTGTAGATGTGATAATTCAATTTATTATATACATATCGATGAGATACCAGGTTTTCTCTAGTTGTGAAAATGCTATATTTTGAACCATGAAAAGATATCATATCTTTCATATGTGAAGATATCATTGTTGGCATGGCGACACTGCATTTTTTCGGCCAATTAGAACAATTTTTATATAAAGATCGATAGATCGATATGTATATAATAAACTAGAACATTACATGGCCGCTTGGAAATACTAATTTCATCTTCGAGTGTTCAATCGATATCTCATGAGTGAGCGTAGCCCATGTAATATCCTCTACACCTAACCAAAAAAATTATGCAACTTTTAATATATATATGTCTTTTGTTCTTGAGAGATTCAACAATAGGGAAACAATAGACATATATATATTGAAAGTTGCAGAATTTTTTTGGTTAGGTGTATATCAAAAATAGTAAAATAGGTTTCGCAGTCATGGTATTAAGCACGCTTTTTTAAATTAAATCTTCGAGAACTAATGTGGAATTTCTTGTATAATTTATGCTGATATTGCAGCTACCACTTTCTTGTAGGATGTACACCGTGATTCAAACGATGGTGCTTTCGCTTGTTCTGCTCATTTCCCGAAGAGCCGTTGCAATTGGTCAGTGYAGGCACGCATCATCATCAATGCTYTCGTATCGTTTCTTCGATRACATCCAAGTCGTCCCCGATAGAAGGACTGCTGACCTGAAAGATTGTTTCAACCTGTGCAGAAAGATGTCTGAATGTAGAAGTATAAATTACAAAATTGATGCAGGTATCTGTGAGTTGAACATTAAAAATCATATCACTGACCCCCAGAAGCTCGAAGAAATGAGTGGATACGTGTACTTAGCTGTATTTGACGTAATTAAAGAGCCTACAGTTCCTTCAAGCTTAAATGAAGAACAAGCACCAACGAAGGTACATTGGTTGGTTGGTTGGTTGGTTGGTTGGTTGGTTGGTTGGTTGGTTGGTTGGTTGGTTGGTTGGTTGCCCCTTTTGGTTGCCCCTTTTGGTTGCCCCTTTTGGTTGGTTGGTTGGTTGCTTGGTTGCTTGGTATTGATAATGTTGTTATAAAGATTGACTAATAACTGTATCGCTGTTAGGCACCAGAACCCAAGTACAATACATGTGCGAAGTTAAAACAGATGAAACCATCTTCTCCTAGTGGAGTGTACGAGCTGCAAGTGAACGGTTCACCTAAGCATGTGTACTGTGACATGACTAACTTTGGTAGGAATTCACTATACTGCAATAACTAGATCTTAACGTTTAAAGGGCACCAAARARGACTCAGTAGGATTTTGACTTTCGYTTCTTTCTTACAGGGGGAGGATGGGCACTTGTTACATCAATCAGTGCATCAAACAACCAGCATACATTGCGCACTCAAAATAACTGCTTCAACTCCTCTCTGTGTGTACCACTGACCACTGGAACYCTCGTCGCAAGGAAAAATTCAGATATCGAGATTCGCGCACTGGCCTCCTATGAGGGTAATTTTATTATCTTAAAAAAAAACGCTTTTGTGTATAAAAGTTTCTCTAATTTACTGTGTTAATTTCACTAGGGACGTTCCGTTTTGACGTCACGAATACAGGAAGCACGCTGTACACAACCTTCTATCGAGTAAGTCGTTTATCGATACCTCAGGACAATCAGGGACTATACTCATTGCCATCCCTGATCATTATAATATTTCAGACACACGGCTCTGGTCAAAGTATGTTTTTTAATATAAAGAATTGCTATAGCCTCTTTGGCAGACGTTATAGTTTAGGTGTGATCGACTGTGTATTGTCTGCAACGGAGCCTAGCAATGCTGGAATCACGGAGTGGTGAGATTTGGAAAATTCCATAAATTGATTCAAGAGATCTCCAAAMAATTACGAGAATCTAATAGCATTGTTGCTCCTTGCCATCTTGTTTAGCAATYTTGTTTAACTCCCTGCGTTGTTTTTGYTGTTTTTAACAGCTTACACAAGGCGCACAAGGTTTTGACGCAGGATGCTCAGGTYCTGGGTAAGAACTATAAATTATACGATAGCAACAGTATTATTAGTTATCTATGCATATTAATGCTTCATTACTTTACCAAGATGTCCAAGGATGATTGTATCTTATGCTTATCCTTATAATTGGGAATCGAACTGTAAGGGAATACAAACGGGATATCAAATTCAAGTTTCGTCATCTCCCAGTAATTGTTACAAAGGTAAGGTGACACGACACCGAAAACTCACTTTATTCAAAAATATTTACACGTTAGTGTATGTGACTGCAATTTCTTATACGATTCTTTCTTTCTTGCCGTCAACTCTCATTCTTTTTTCTTTTTCTTTTTTTTTGGATTTTTGATCATGATATTTCTCATGGTTTCACTGCYYKWACTTTTGTAATCCAGTGTATGTCAATTCGTGAGAGACCGCTGACATTGGTCGTGAAGACTCTGTACTCACCTGACTTTCACTGCGCTCTCCGTCGAACTAATATCAGTGATCTTTTGCAGAAATATAAATCTGCAGTTTATAATATAACAGACGTTGATACATTGATTTTCTCTTTCTAGTGTTTGACGGACACGATAATGGAGAATGCGGCGGAACAGTTTGGTTTTCTTCAGGTTACACTAGTAAGTCAGGGGGGAGGGGAGGGAGGGGGGAGGTGGCTAACCAAAGAAAAAATATTGTAATACCAAAAAGGGTTAGGGGCAGAATCAGCAATTTATTTTATGATTAAAATTGATGTTTTATATTTCACAGCGAAAAGAGTGTTGTACAGTTTCTGCACAACGACTGGATTTTACAGTGGTCTACAGGGAAACATGTATGTTCGCTGAAGCCATCTYAAAACCACGACATACCAGATAATGCGCATGCGTCTGGAGCGACTTCAGGTGGTAAAAAAGAGGCCGGGCAACCCCTAACAATGTAGCCTTTATTTTGGGAATCAATCTCATACGTCTCACAGTGATCAGTGTTAAGGTGATGATTAGTAAGGTTATAGTGGAGGAACATTCTGGATTCATCTCTGCGGGTCTCAAGAATTGCCATTCCTCCCCTCTCTGTAAAAACTCTCTTTAACTTGACTTTTGTATTTTTTCGTTTTGGAAAGGATTTCATTACTGGAGAACCTTCAAACAGTCTAAAAAAAGGTTGTAAAAAATTGTAAAAAAAAAAAATAAAACTAAAAAAAATTGTAGCTGTTGTTTTGTATTTGTTTGAGTTTTTATTTGATAGCTATATGCATGGCATAAAACGAAAAAAAAAAAAAACGAAAAAAAGAAATACTTGCAGGTATTGAAGAGCAGCTGACGCTTATCAAACATCAATATGTCATCTTTGCTGTATCACTCGCTTTGAGTGAATAGCACTAACTATTAGCGATAGTAATTGTACCTTTTACCTAAAATAATGTTTCTTTATGATTCAAATACATTTCTGGATTAAATTGTCTTGTTACTAAATCATTAATCACGGCTACGTTCGATTTTTGCAACGATTTAGCAATCAGAAACGCGCTTGAAAAATACATTGTCATCACTTTAAAGTAGTTGAAATGTTTGAAGCCTCTTTCATAGGTACAATAAACGTCGTATATTACACTTGATTTCGCGAAGCAAAAAAGTGTGTCAAACATTTTAGAATTTAATTCATCCTCATAATGAACCATACATAATATGATGCAAGTAAAACCGTTGTCTTGTATACAGCTATTTCAAAAAACGTTGTCCAAGTGAGATTGCTCGACCGAAAGGGACTATGGTTACCCTGTTAGTTGTACTTAATGGATTTACCTTTCATAGAAATGGAGTCTAAATAAAGCCAATGTTAACCACAGACTATCTTACGGTGTAAATCAGTTGTTATTTCTATCAACTAGCAAAACCCATGGCTACTTTCGGTCGTGCAATTGCGTTGCAATTCGACCATTGACATTCACAAGTTTGATCTGACAACGGCTTTTTTGAAATAGCTATATAAAAAATTCATTTGACGCTTTTCCATCTGATGAGACAARTATCTTTGCGCTTATTGTTATTAGATCGATGAGAGAATTAAGTTTAGGAAATTTTTATATATACATGCAATACAGACATTCAAGTTAAGTTCAGCTCCGTAGAAATTTTAAATTCAAGTTTAATATAAGTAGTTGTTTACATTAGATAGAGCGGTATAGAGGACGGAGGGAACGTAGGGTTAAATGTTTTGTTTTGTTTTGTAAAAACAAGAAGATAGACCCACTACAGCGAACTAGAGGAACCGTTTCACCATGTCTAAACAGATATAAACCCAAAAAATCAACGAACGAAACAAACACAAATTACACAACTCAAGTGCTTTTGGAACTGCGTTGAATAATTTATAATTGTTCATTATTTCATTTTGTTACGAGCATTGAGAACTTGGAGAGGATTTCTAGAAGGTCCTCAATTGGCYGAATTAGGTGAAAAGAATGAATGACTTTCAGTAATAATTAATAAGKCAAATGAGGCAAATCATATGTCATTTAGCTACACCGTTGTTATGGCGTTTTCCCTTAAACATTTATAACAATAGTTGAGTTTCTTTCTTTTCATTTTACTAGAGCACCAAAAGATGTCGAGCTTTTCAAGGTGAGTCTAAAACCGATGCAAAAAAAAAACTCAGTAAATGTCTTTATTGGAAATGACTTATTAAGTCAAATCATCTTTGGATCGAGGTATAACTTGCATATATACAAATTAATTAAGCAGAAAGMAGAAAGCGCTAAAAATTTCGAACAATCCAGAATCTCAAGATGGTACTATTTTTGTATTTTCAGTGTGCGTCCCACGACCACCACTGTTAGGGMTTTGTGGATGATTTTGTTGATATTTCTAGCCATCTCTCGAAAAACAGCTGCAACTGGTCAGTGCGCCCGCGCAGCATCAACCATGTTTTCGTATCGTTTTCTTGACAACCGAGTTGTCCCTAACAGGAAGACCGCTGACCTGAAAGATTGTTTCAACCTGTGCAGAAAGATGTCTGAATGTAGGAGTTTAAATTACAAAATTGATGCAGGCATCTGTGAGTTGAACAKTAAAAAYCATWTCACWGACCCCCAGAAGCTCGAAGAAATGAGTGGATACGTGTACTTAGCTGTACTTGACATAGTTAAAGAGCCTGCAGTGTCTTCTAACAACTCAAATGGAGAACAGACACCAACAAAGGTACATCGGTTGGTGGTCGGTCGGTCGGTCGGTCGGTCGGTCGGTCGGTCGGTCGGTTGGTTGTTTGGTTGCTTGGTTGCTTGGTTGCTTGGTTGCTTGGTTGCTTGGTTGCTTGGTTGCCTGGTTGCTTGGTTGCTTGGTTGCTTGGTTGCTTGGTTGCTTGGTTGCTTGGTTGCTTGGTTGCTTGGTTGCTTGGTTGCTTGGTTGCTTGGTTGCTTGGTTGCTTGGTTAGATGGATGGTTGGATGGATGGTTGGATGGATGGTTGGTTGGTTGGTTGGTTTGTTGGCTAGTTGATTAGTTAGTTGCATTGAAGTTGATTGATGAAGTTGATTGATGGATTAGTTTGTTGACAAATTAAATGGTGGAATAGGCTAAATGACTGAGTGATTAATTGTATTGATTGATTGATCGATATGCATGTGTGTCAAATCAGTCATCAGAACCCAAGTACAATACATGTGCGAAGTTAAAACAGATGAAGCCATCTTCTCCCAGTGGAGTGTACGAGCTGGACGTGAATGGTTCACCTAAGCATGTGTACTGTGACATGAGTGCATATGGTACGTTCCACTAACTGACAACACAGTCTTTTAATGTGAAAAAGAGAATTAACACCAACTTTAGGACTGCTCTACTAAAGGAGTCTACTAAAAGAATTTATCGTAATAATGAATATATCAATAACTGATATGATTGATTTATAGTCAAATACAAAAAGTCGATTTGCAACGAATTTGATTGATTGATTAAATACTATTAATATTTCTTTTGGGCTTTCGTTATAGGTGGAGGATGGGCACTTGTCGTGTCAATCAGCTCATCAAATAACCACCATACTTTACGAGCTAAAAATAACTGCTTCAATTCSTCGTTGTGTGTATCGTTTGCGACTGGAACCTTAGTCGCACGAAAGAATTCAGACACTGACATTCGAGCGCTGGCATCTTATGAAGGTAAAAACGTTTATGCAAGTTTTAGCCTTGCTTTTTTATGCAGTTTGATGATCAATACGTTCTATAAACCAGTACATGTTATACTATAGGAACATTTCGAGTAGATGTGTTCAACTCGGCTGGTAGTTTGCTGCATACCAACTTCTATCGGGTAAGAACACAATGAGTAATGAGCGTCATTGCTAATGACATGATGCGCATATTGTGGTTTTAAATCCAGGACGTTACAAAGTTGTAAGTGAACTATTATCCATCTTATTCATTTATTACCATTTAGTTTCCACAGGGAGCCCAATCTTTTGACGCTGGATGTGCAGGCCGAGGGTACGTACACTGTACATTATTGCTAGTAAGAACTGTTACACTTCGGTACTTCTAGTGAATAAACTCGTTTTCTTTAGTATTCATTTCATTCATAATAGACAATCATCACAATAAAGTCACTTCAATGTAATTCGACCGCGTGGCCTAATGGATAAGGCGTCTGACTTCGGATCAGAAGATTGAGGGTTCGAGTCCCTTCGTGGTCGTTATCAATTTTTTAGTTACACAATCGTGGAGTATATTTTGTATGTATGCATCTATATTCACAAAGTAAGTTTTTGATTAGCTCAACTATGCACCATTCCCTTATACATGTATCACTTTTATGATGACGATGATGATGATGATGATTTATTCTATCATGATTTCTAGATGCCCAAGGATTATTACATCCAGTGCGTACCCGTAYGTGTGGCAATCGAATTGCAAAGGATTAGAAAAAGGATATGCAATTTCATACAATAATTGCTACAAAGGTAATAGTCCACAATCGTCCCAATTGATTTCTGCTATCGTGATTRGCTAAAACGACTACATGCTCGCGTGACGACCACTCGACAAGACAGAAGCCCTCCGCTTTAGAAAAATTTGCTGTTGAATAAAAAGAGCTATCACATCATAACTCCCTCGATTCAACTACTCCGTTGTTTATATATGATGTTCAATTTATAACTCAATGRTTTCCTTGTAGTGTTTGATGACCACGATGCACAGGAATGCGGMAGTAACTGGATTGCCTCACATTACCATAGTGAGTCAAATCGCTATTCTTGTATCCATACACAGTGCATAAAGCAATGTTATTTTAAGTGATGTTACCGCAGAGATAACATGATATGAAATTAAATGAATGACAATGATTGGATGAATGAATAAATGAACAAAAAAAAAGTTGATTGGAAGGCAAGCGAGTAATAAGACTATTTTATTTACAGCCAGAAGAGTTCTTTACAGTCTATGCGGACATAATGGGATCTACTCGGGATTACAAGGAAAGATGTATGTTCGATGACACTATTGACTGCTGTGGACAACCGCCATTCATTAAAATCCAAACTGAAAAAGCCGGATCAACTACATATTTATCAAAGGCCATGTTTTAGTTTTGACTCGTACTCTGAGCTCTTTTTATAATTGCAATGTTGGTTTCAAAYTGAAATGTGGTAAATAATAAATATCAATTTTTAGGCCCACCATGTTTAGTTTATTGATGTATGTCTTCGTGTTTATTTGTTGGGTTGACCAGTTAGTTTCAAGATATTTTATGATATACAGGGGCGGATTTAGAGGGGCCAAGTCCCCCAAGTCCCCCCTCCCYCACCGCTCTTCGCTGACCCCCCTTCTCTTCTCACTTTCCCGAATAATTGGAACGAAGACTCACATCATGGAATGCCGGTGATCGAAGGTTCCCTTGTGCTGGATTCGCATCGTCTCATCCCTTATTCCCTGCTTTGTGTACTTGTCACTGAAAAATAATTCTTTTCGTCCTTGATACACCGATATATGAGTAACATTGCGTTGCTATGCAATTCTAGCGGAATAAAAATTTCATGAGCTGAAAMCTTTCCGCTGTGCTTAGTATTGTTTTAAAACACTTTGCTTTCGAAGACGTCTGTGAAGAAGGTAAGAATCTTTTGGAGTTCATGAATTCATTTGACGTTTTATGAGTTATATTTTTTCTAGTTTTGTTAAGTTATATTAAGTGTGTTTAAATTAATCTAAAATGTAACTAAATCAAATTGATTTATACTACAAGTATTCAATTTATTACGGGCATTATTAATTCTGATTTCTACCGTATACCGTTTTATCTGAGAATTTTAAATTCGATTGATCAAAAAAAATTTTTATCGATTTGATTGGTTTTGGATAAAAACATAGTGTATCAGACAATTGAACGCCGAATAAATAGATGTCAGAAATCCGCAAAACTAGTCATGATCTTCTGCATTATTTTACTGGTTCAAAGACTAGAAATGCTTTGTGAAAAGCCAAGTCTCCAATTATTGTGTGCATCAATTAAATTTAAGAAATTCTGAACATGATTTTATCCTCTTGAAATTTCATTTTTATTTCAGAATGACGAACGTCATGTTGGCGGCCATTTTGTTTCTGATGACCTTACCAAAGATGGCTGCCACAAAAAACAACGAAATAACAACAATTTCTCAGTTTGGGTATCGCTTTCTCGACAAACGAGTTCTTCCCGATAGAAAGACCAATAATTTGAAAGCTTGTTTTGACCTGTGCAGAGAAACAGGCGGATGCCGAAGTATTAATTACAACAAAAATAAAGGCATCTGTGAATTGCACAGTAAAAGTCATGTTACACATCCTCAGAATCTCGAGAGAAGAACTGGATATATTTATACAGCAATGCTTGACGTTAAAGAGGTAATAGAARTTGCTAAAGATGTTCCTCAGTCAACGATGAATTGAAGCTTAGCGTTACGTAATAAAACTCAATATGCAACATCATAGTACATCAAAGTACGTCCCTTTTTTAGTCTCAGCTACCAGATACCAAGTACAAAACATGTGCGAAGCTAAAACAGATGAAGCCATCTTCTCCCAGTGGAGTGTACGAGCTGGACGTGAATGGTTCACCTAAGCATGTGTACTGTGACATGGATAACTTTGGTAATTTATATTTTAATTGATGTAGTACTCATATCAGTCGTTGATTTATGACTACCCTCACTAATTAAGGTTGCAATAGTCTTCTTCACGGTTTCCTGCGCCATCTTGAAAGGCAGCCGTGCCTTTGCATCGAAACGAGACGAACGTTGAGCGTGCAATGATAGAAACCTTCTTTCACACGTACTGACAATTATTCACAGGTTTCTATCATTGCATGCTCAACGGTTGTCTCGATTCGATGTAAAGGCACGGCTACCTTTCAAGATGGCGCAGGTAAACGTGAAGGAGACTATGACATGTCATTGTGATAGTKTCTGACATTATCTGCAATTACAGATCATCGTTATCTTACTAATTATCATTATCAATAATTTGATTATTGCGTTTACTGTCATCGTTTCAATCACCTGTACTATTATATACTATCACTTATTCTAGTCACTGACAGAAACTCTCAATTTCAGGGGGAGGTTGGTCGCTTGTCGTGTCCATCAGTGCATCAAACAAACAGCATTTAATACGAAATGCATATAACTGCTTCAATTCATCCCTCTGTGTTCCATATACCACGGGAACTCTCGTTGGAAGGAAATATTCAGACGCTGACATCCGTGCATTGGCTTCATATGAGGGTAAGTACGCATTTCTCAATAAGTAACGTACGTACAATTATCATCATCATCATCATCATCGTTCGGCTGTTGCACAGTCGACTACAAGACGTTTCYAGTTGACCCGGTCTTGGGCAGTTMGTAGAATGTCTGATTCGGTGAAATTGCCAGTTGGATCGATCCATTCCTTGACTTGCTTAGAGTACAACTTCCGTTGACCACGTACAATTATGGTAAGGCATAAACAGTTAAAAAAGAAAAACACTATAGATTGATGTTGATGTACAAATATGTGGTTGTCTCTAGCTTAATGCTTTTAATTCAGACGTTTGGATCTGTTCTCAAATCTTCTTCAGTGCAAAATGTTAATGTGCTTTTTTCCTTTCTGATACAGGTWCATTTCGCATCGATGTGACTACATCTTCATCGATTTGGTATTATAATTTCTATCGAGTGAGTTTGCTGCCATATGACTATAATAACCGGATCGATATATCTCTTGTTAATGTTACGTTTACCACAACTGAGACGTTGATACATTTTCATRCATATTTTGACAGTTTGCACAAGGGGCACAAGTATTGGACTCAGCGTGTCGCGGTGTTGCGTAAGGAAAAAAACTATGAATCACTTTGATTATTGTCCTTTATCAACAAATATTAAAAAAACGAATCAATCTTATTTACTAATTATTTAATTTTACCGCTATCGTTTTCACTATAATCAACTAGTTATAATAACGTCCAGTATGCCTTTCAGATGTCCCAGGATTATTGTGTCTTATGTCTACCCTTATGTCTGGGAATCGAACTGTTTTGGTACAGAGAAGGGATACCAGATTGTAAAATCTACATGCTATCGTGGTAAGTGATGCGTTCCACTCCATGAAAAGCGAATAACAACAACAACAATAACAACAACAACAGCAACAACAACAACAACAACAACAATAAATAACAACAACAATAACAGCAGCAGCAACAGCAACAACAACAACAACAACAACAACAGAAACAGCAGCAACAATTACAACAACAAAAACAAAAACACTAATGAAACAATCAAACAGACTTAAAACTAAGTGCCAAAAATTAGGTTCATAATACCGGTCAACCCGCCTGGGATTTTTCTTCCTTTGAAACCATGAAACCAGACTATAAATCTCATTTTCAGATAATTTGTGTCTAGGGATTTATAGATTTATCAGTTTAGTTGCAAATCAATATGCCACTCTTCTTTCTCAGTATTTGATAGTCATGACAATTCTGAGTGTGGAGCAAGCTGGAGTGGCTCCCAATACCATGGTTAGTTCAATTTCTTATTATTAACATCAAAGGAATTTTTCACCACAAGATAGTTGCATTGCTATCGATATTATTATAGTTGGCCGTGTTAGACTTGTCAGTCATTATTACCACTTTGATCAATCAGACGCTCTTTTCGCTACCTCACTTTGCTTCGCAAAATTGATTAAGAGGTAAACTTATATAAGAGCTCAATTATATGACTTTTTATACTAGTTYTCATTTTTCATCAGGTAAACGAATTCTGTACGGGCACTGCACTTACAATGGGATTTATCTTGCGCGGCAAGGAAATATGTACGTTAGATAAAAGACCTGTGGAGGTGAATCACAAAGATTTCTGGCTGGAGCAAAGAGTCATCACCTATCAAAGTTCTGTGTCCAAGCAATCAGTTATAAAATATTGATCGATCATAAAACATGATTTGATATTTGCTCATTCCAAACTGTATTTGATTTCTTTACAGCGCATTATAAAGCAGCCTATGTATTAATTAGTACGCTGTCCTTTCAAAGGAACCAAAACGGCCGATAGAACTCTTCTTCATTAGTAATTGAATCACTTTAGGTGGTCGTTTGACCACAGTTGGTTTCTACTTTTTGTTGCTGTTATTTACAAACTACTTTGTCGACGATGATTCCATTCTAATCCATTCAGGCTTATAAAAACTGCTACACTTTGTACTTCTCTGATTCTATACTGTTGTATGTCGCATGATGACGAGCAGTGTTGCTTAGCTACAGCTGTAGGTAATCGTCACTTTGAGTTGTTATGTAATTTCAACGTCAGTGAAATAAAAATTTCATGAGTTMGATCTKCCTGTWGTGGGTTTATGTATAGCTGATAATGATCTTGAAACTCCCAGACAATGATATTTTGATAAACAAGTTTTCTTCTTTATYGACGAGAATTGCGTTCAAAGGTAAGAATCTCTGTTAAACTCACGAATCCACTGTTAGAATKTTCTGCACAACATTTTTTCGAACTGTTTTTTTTCATCAGTTTATAGCTGCTGTATGTAATGCGATTAATTAAGTTAAAAATAAATGTTCCATAGTTTTGATAGAAAGACAAAGGTTTAGAGTTAGTTGACTACCTGAAATGATTTTTTTTATCCAATACCATTGAATCATTTCCCATAAACATTTGCGTGGATACCGATAAAAATTGATTTTTGGTCGACACATTATTCTAGCACAGAAAGCTTTCTTCCTGCAAGTCTTGCCTTTTAAAATTATCAACAACATCACAATTTCTACATTTCAACTATTTCAGAGTACACGAACGTCATGTTGTCAGCCATTTTATTTCTGATGACTTTACCAAAAACCGGTGCCAYAAATAACAACGAAACGGAGACTACTTCCCAGTTTGGGTTTCGTTTCCTCGACAAACAAGTTTTTCCCGACAAAAAGACCAATAATTTGAAAGCTTGTTTTGACCTGTGCAGAGAAACCCTTGAATGCCGAAGTTGCAGTTACAACATAAACGATGGTTTCTGCGAACTGCACAGCAAAAGTGATGTTACACATCCTCAGAACCTCKCGAGAAGAACTGGATATATTTATATACCAATGCTTGATGTTTTAAAAGAGGTAATTATAATATTACTATAATAAAATAGTAGGACATGATGGTGAGATATGTAAGCTTGMAGATGGAGGGCATTCGTTATACGCTTAGAAAGTGCGAGTTGTAAACCCCGTTGAGACTTTGCCTAGCATTAACTGACTTGACTTATAACAAACGAAGCTTAGCATACTAGAACCAACTCTAGTAGGTCAGAAAGGTTTTGCCTTACCTCTGAGAAAATTTAACGTTCACTTGTAGCCACTTGGAAAAGATTAAATGGATGAGATTTGACATGCCGTAATTGATCTCTCTCTAGCTAGGAAGTACGTCCCTCTTTTTCAATACTAATACTTTTTTAAGCTTTGAGGATTATATCTTCTCAGCAAACACCTCAGTCTCAACCTCAGCTACCAGATACCAAGTACAAAACATGTGCGAAGCTAAAAGAGATGAAGCCATCGTCTCCCAGTGGAGTGTACGAGCTGCAAGTGAACGGTTCATCGAAGCATGTGTACTGTGACATGGATAACTTTGGTAGTTTTTTTTAGTTATTATCCTTCATTGTCATTTCCATACCATGTCTTGCTCTTTCACATGATATTTTTGTTAACGTTTTGTTGCTATTTGTTATCGWAATTTCCATTACCATAACATATCATGTACCGCCATTTACTTTGTACTTACTGTTGCGGTTGCAATATGTCATTTTTTGGAAACTGACATTAATTCTCGTCGYACTTCGCCATGTACATGTAACATTGCTTGGTGTAGTCATTGATACAAACTCTCTACTTCAGGGGGAGGTTGGTCGCTTGTCGTGTCCATCAGTGCATCAAACAAACAGCATTTATTGCGAACTGAGAATAATTGCTTCAATTCATCGTTTTGCGTACCACACACCACGGGAACTCTCGTCGCACGGAAGAATTCAGACGCTGACATCCGCGCACTGGCTTCTCATGAGGGTAAGAATTTGTATGAGAACAAAAACTCATGCACAAAAGATGACCACGAAACGCTTAAAATAGAACACCTATAAGCCCAAATAAATGTATTTTGTTTTCTTTTTGATAGGTACATTTCGCATCGATGTGACTACAACTTCTAAGATCTCGTATTATAATTTCTATCGAGTRAGTTTGATATCTGACAAATAACTATTCAATACCACAAGGTCCTCATTCTAGTAGCAGAGTGCTCGCACTAAATGCGTGAAATATAAATACTACAAAATAGGTGATAWATTATACAAATTCCTTTGTTTTCTATTGTATATAATCAACACTATTTAGTAGTAATTAGYACTATTTGTTTCACGCTTTAAGTGCAAGCACTCTAGTTCTTGTTTGCAATTTTTTGTTGGTTATTTAGCAGTTTTTTTTTTATGTAGTTTGATAAAGTTTTTATAGAGTTTGATAAAGTTTTCATTTATTTTTGACAGTTATCCCAAGGTGCACAAGTATTTGACGCAGCGTGTTCTGGTGTTGCGTAAGAAAACACAGTTTGTTACTTTTTTACCATTAACATTATTAGCATTATATTACCAAATATTATCAAGCAAAGAAAACAATATTCTTACCACCAACATAGCACAAGACAGCAACAACCATCCGTTATTATTCATCAAATCGTCACAATTGTTTAGATAAAAGGTCCATGTCCAACCATCATGCATTGTGGTCGCGCAAGGAAAGGAGAGAAAGAAAATATTATTTGTTACTAGTATGAGAGAGTGCTTAGTATAGTTTCCACGCGTTTTCTTCACTAATTTGTCTGTACGTAACTTTGTAACCTTTTTGCATTACTATAGATGTCCCAGGATTATTGTTTCTTATGTATACCCCTATGTCTGGGAATCGAACTGYTTTGGTACAGAGAAGGGATACCAGATTTCTAAGACTGAATGTCATAGAGGTGAGAAGCATACCGAAGCATATTTCCAGCAGGAATATAAATCTATATGATACAAACTTACATACTAATGTTTTTGTATTTAGTATTTGATGGCCACGACAGTGTAGAGTGCAATGGAGTTATGTGGATTGGCTCGCAATTCACTGGTAAGCCCTTTGCATAATTACCATTTAATGTCAATATCTTCAAGAGAGATGTATTGCTATTTGTAGTATTCTTTTCATACGGTCTAGTCCAGTTTTCATTCAACATATAAACGGTGCCATTTCTAATTTCCAACATAGTTCATCATCATCATTTATCATCATCRTCATGAGAGRTCATCRTCATGACTGTTATATRTCGTCTTTGATACTTTGTGATTGTTAGCATTTTTGATATTAGTTTTATTTTTTTTAGGTAAAAGAATTCTGTACAATTTCTGCGATTACAACGGGATCTACCCTAACCTACAAGGGAATGTTTACGTTAGATAAAAGGAATTGACAGAATCATATATTGAGCGTCCTGGTCTCCTGATTAATCACTACTTTTCAAAGCTTTTCAAAAAATGTTTTAGTGCAAGCACATATAATAGAATATTAGATTTGCTCTGACATTTGTCCATATCACCATATATATTCTGTATATTTATAGAGGGGTCTAGTGCACTAAGTTGTCAATGTGATGTAATCAAACTGACGGCCCTCCTAAGGGCGTATGAACATGCGCATTACTTGCGTRCTAATTTTCAAATATAAAGTTTTTGATATACATTTTTAGAATATGACCTTTAAATACACAAATCAAAATAATCTTGAAATAAAAGCACRAAGCCTTGCTTAAAAGTATGGTCACTTCTAATATTGCTGTTGATATAGCTTGCTGTTAATATGTACACTGATGAAACCTGCCCGCGTCGAGCGGCCATATATTACAATAAGCAAATCAAGAGTTGACAAATATYAGGTGGAAACTAGCGGTAAATTAGTATGAAAAAAAAAAGAAAATAAATGTCAGATATTTGAACAAGCTATACTCATCGCTAGGTGTCATTCATTTCAGGAGTTTCGTGCTAAGCACAAAATATAAATATCGCTCACCTATCAATGCCATTTTTTTTAAATTTAACTGCTTTACAGAGATTTAGATTGGAACTGTGATGTAAACATTTTCAAGAATCTAAAGCACTGGACATCATCAAAAAAGTATKATTAAGTATTCTACAGAGTAACAATTAAATAGGCCCACCATAGCCGCTATAATCCTAGAGTTTGTTTTTTAAAACACACAACTTTTCAGCTTGAATGGTCGTCATAGAAACCAGGAACTTTAGAAACCAGGTTTCTTTGTTCATTGCAATTATAAAGCTGTTTCCACTGGTCGTTGCTAATCCCACAGCAATTACTGACGGCCTTTGTGTCATAAAGGTTTTGTTTTTATATCTTTATTGGTTGTGAGAAGGCCGTTTGAATCCTAGTATCAGCCGTTTTATRTAAAACATATATATGGTAAACTATCGTCAGAACCAATGTCGGGAAATTCACTCTGATTTCTGAAGCAATTTCATGTTTTCTTCCGTAAATTTTGAGATAATAATCTTTTCGGGCATATCACAGTCATTATAAGATGTTTATCACTGTTCGATATGGAGGTAAGTGGTCGTTTTGTTCACGAGTTTTATGACCACGTTTGGCTAAAACTGATTTAGGTATACATTTGATTCACAGATGGCGAACAAACGTTATTTAATCCACAATGTAAAATATCTGCCTTACTCGAAGACATTAAACGAAGATGCAAATGCACAAAAGATGGTAGGTGATGTAGCGCGGAAAAAGTAATTAACGTCTTTATTTGCTTAAGGAAGTGCATCACTATGCTTCATAACGTTAAGTACGTGGTATGTTTTAATGGCGTCTTTATAACGGGTATAATAATTGTCAGAAATTGAATTAACGCCTTGCTTGCAACTTTCAGTACTWACGAATAGTCACATCATTCAATTAATGATCAATATTGAAGTATAGACAGGAACTATGTTTAATGCGAAAATTCAAGTACTTCTTCTTCACAATAWACAGTTCTTGGAAGTYTCGGAGAAKGCTTCWAGAGTGTTTCWWAGTGGCGCGTAGCATGGTGCATCTCAACAGAAAGCAATTGATCACGTGTCGACGTGACAAGTTTTTTTTTCAAACAGCTTTTCGAGAGCATGAGATGTGAAAATTAGAAAGCCATGAAAACATRCATGATCTTGATCTTTTTTATTTTTTTTTGATTTTGCACTAAATTGCACAAAACTGTGCAATAATGAAATGCCCAAAATTATGATATCCAGGGTCGAACATACTATCATTGTTCGAATTGACCCCACACATTTTATGGACCCTTGTTATAGGCCTGGGCCGGGTTGAATTGTTCAAAGATCGATCATCAGTGCTAATCCTCGGCAGAAGTACATAACCAGAATGGTTATGTACTTCTGTCCTCGGTTATTTCTCAAAAAATCTATGGGTTAAAACCTGGCTTAACGATCGTCGGTCTTTGAAAAACCCGCACCGATAGTTAATATACCTTGCTGTGACAATTTTCTACACCAATTTTATCCATTTCGATGTAATTTGCGTGTTTTTTTTTCTACAGCTTTAGTTGACCTATCAGACGAGAGTGGGAATCTCAAATTCTTAGTTGATCATCCACTAAGTTACGCTTCTGAAATCTTGAAAGAAAGAGAGTCTTTCGTGYTGATCAGAATTGAAAGTAAGAATCCATGAGGGGCTGGGACGCCTTATGCCAGCGCAGTTTAAGTAATACGCGATTGACATATCCTCCTTTGCAGACGTTATTAGTATCGGTCATAAATTCCCTCTCCGAACTGTTTCAGTGTTTGATCAATAAAAAAAAAACGTTCTGTAAAATGTATATTGATTCACAGCTCGAGATAATCATTTCATTTGATTGACGTATTATTTGTTGTGTAGAAGAAAATAAACATAAACGACCACGAAGGGACTCGAACCCTCAATCTTCTGATCCGAAGTCAGACGCCTTATCCATTAGGCCACGCGGTCGTATATATTTTGATACTGATATTYCTCTAGCGTCTTCATCCGACCAAAACTATACAAAACGACAGTGTAGTTCAGCCTCACGCAGGCTAATTTCCCTTTAGTTTATCGTAATGCAGTGATAATTTTCTACATTGGGTTTGTCTTATATGACCTTATATATCTAAACAGAAAAATCAGAAGACGAAGGCTCATCTTATACACCGCTATTGAACGATATCTCTACGATAACAGCTGCATTTTTAGGTAAGCTGTRAAAAAATAWAAGCATTGCTGAGTATAGGAAAAGATATTTCCTCGCTATTATCATTACAGTAGATCTCCAGCTAATTTTTCAGCCTGATTCCGACTCTAACGCGCTTTTAGATAGCCCAGGCCCGTCTGAAAATCAGGCTAAATCAGTCGAGGACAGATGAAGCCGAAAGGTCTAATTTTAGTATAAACATACTAATTGTTAATAACAATCTACTTCATCAATCATCACGAAATGGACTCCATTCATTTGGATCCGCCATTTTTTCTCTACTAATGGTCTATCATAAATACGACCGGCTGTAGATTAGCCAATTAGAGTGCAGTATTAGTGTCGACCATTAGTGYTAAATACTATTTACTTCTTCCAGAACGTTTATCGAAGTGCGAGAGCGATGCCACAACTGCGAAGCAGTCAGCCGCTAAAACAACATCACCAACCACCACGCCCAACAAGAAAGGCAACACCTTGAACAAGGCCAAAGCAGCCTTYATGTCAAACCCTGCACGGTTAAAAAGCAGAGATCGATCCTTTTCGAACAAGAGTCCCACGTTAAAAAAGGCAAGCAGATAACAAAGCTAGGGGATGCCTTGGACATCATTTCATCATTGTCTTTGGTCGGATTCCTATTTTATCATCTTATGTGTCGGTAGTCCTTCAAGCTCACGCGAAGCAAGGAATAACTCCGAAAAAAGGGGTTGGAAGTTGTCAGACTTGATAGACAATTCTTTTGATCAAACATTCTCGCTCACGGCATAAAAAAAGTCGCCAGTTATACTAAGCGACAATTTCACTTTTCTCGATGAACTTTTCAACGACAAGGATACTAGTATTATAAAATACAAATGTCATTAAAATCGGAAAAGAAAATCAAATCAAATCAAAATTTAATTAATCTTGAAATAAATGRACAAGATATTCAAATAAAGATATAGGAAGAATTGCTTGAGAGCCTGGTGCGAGTCATTGTGTTTGGAGTCTGCCCTTGTTTGAGGGATCGCCAAAGATATCCATGTCCGATTAAATGTTAAAAATTGCGATCTCGTGCATGGTGGTCCGAAACGTATCCTGATACCTTAACTTTATTCAATAGATTTTATCTGCACGGCAAGGATGTATCTGCCGRGTAGCGATTTTCACCCAGCTTCACAAAACCTTCTCCCGCACCCAATATCAAAGGGACACCCGTTTATAAYCCCATACCACCGAGAACACTTTTACATCATATCAAGAGTACAAAGCACAMGTAAATGATAAAATTTGTTATTTGTATGACAATGATATCAATCCAACATTTATAAGTATTAATGAGACTATTATTTACAAAATATACCTTACAATTTACAAAATAGTGTTTCAGCAAAAGTGAATTTGATTATTTCTTCTTATTGTCTGAAATCATTGATATGATTAATTTAGTAATAATAATAATAATGATAATAATAATAATGATCATTGTAATACTCTCGAGTGTCAATCATTTTTTTGACCTGCGAGCAGCTGGACCAAAACTGGTACCAAATTTGGTTCGGCTGAAAACAGGCTCAGTGGAGTCTGTCGTACAACTTTCTTACACAGAGCATCGATGTACACATAGAAGGCTCTCATGTATACTAATGTTCTTATACCCAGAAATGCAGATTTCCTCAAGTGAACTGATTTCATGGCTTAAYGGTTTGGTTAAAGGGAATCAATATAGGGTTAGGGAATACATTGTTCTGAGTTTAAATGTTCATGCTTGGTTTTATWTTTCCATTCAGTCTTCGAAAATGTTCTTCTTCTTCTTCTTCAAGAAGTACTTTAGAGCCTTCTATGTGCACACGTGTATGAAAGTTGAATGACAGATCCTTCAGTGCATACTCTATTTTCATTCTCCTTTTGACCTCCATGGGATTCCTGTGTTAGCACAACAATGCAAAGGTTCCCATCATTGTAGTTATTTACTACACTTACATATTTTTTCTCATTTCAACTCCTTTTTTATACCACCAATTTCCCTTCCATTCATACCTTCTTTGAAAATTTGGAGTTTGCATCTAATTTTGAAGCCTTATTGATAGGCCAGTAGTACAAAGGGTTGGTAGAGTAATAGACCAATTAAAGTTATCCACTGGTTTGGATTCTATTTATTGGATAAGCATTTATTCAGTGGATAGTAATATTCACCCCTTGTACAACTGGCCCCTGGATTGTAAAATAATTGGATATTCCATCATTCTTGTAAAATCATCAATACATTTTTATGCTTATCTTATTGTATTTCTYCTAAGTTCTATTTGCCCTATAAGTGTGGCCACTGCATAGTAATGACCAAATGATGTACGAGCCATAATTTCATACTTCAAACTATCAATATTATCTAATAATTCAAAACATTTCAAAAGATAGTTGAATCTTCTACTGCCTGCATAAAAATGTTAGTATCTTGGCCTAAAGATTGTATCTATTTCTTCTTGACACAAAGTAATGAGTTTTTTTAACTGCAGAKACCGCAATTATGTCCAATTCTAACTTCTTGTGACAGCGTAGACTTCTTAAAGACCAAAGCATGATTAATAAGGATTGACTTACCGAAATTTTGTTTTAATCAGATGAAATCTAAACTGTGCTTCAACAAGAAATTCTAACAATGAATATAAACACATGAAAACTATTTGTATGTCAAATGATAATTCACTTTTTCACTTTACAGTAAATTTCTGGAAATTTTTTTTTGTCAAAGTCCAGAGTCTAAGAAATTGATATGACAATTATTAATATTACTGGTGCATCCATGAGTTTGATAGATGGAAAATAAAATTGATAACTGTTGAAAATTATCATTTGAAAAAAAAAAAAAAACAAGAAAAGAAAAATTGTAGCAGGCAGAAGATTGTTCACAAATACATGTAGGATGGCCATAGCCTAATTCTCTTCTCGAATTCATTTGATAGAATTGACATTAAAAACAACAACAAAAAAATAAATGGAATAATTTCCATACCRAAAATGTTAAACTTTAAAAACTTCCTCAGCATCATTACTCTCCAGAAGAAATCTTTAAAGTGTCTACAAATTAAAATCTGCAAAGAAATTTGGATCTTCACTTATTATATAGGACAAAAATAAAATTTAAGTGAAGACCTTTTTCACATACGTTTTTCTCATGATTGACAAACAAATACTAGTAATCATGATCATTGTACCACAGGCATTTATGTGTGCTTTAAGGTTTTTTTTCATTAATTTTGCAAGTGTATGTATRGTTTCCTAAAATAGTCAACACTTTTACTCTGCTAGGAGTGGTCAGTCCTTCTTAACAAAGCTTGAACAGTAATACAAACTCGTTGGGCACTTTTTTCTTCTAGTATGTCAGCTGCTGTACACAGTTCATCCTGATGAAAGAAAAATAAAAACAATCTTTGAKTTACGTTATGATGTTTGTGTTTCTATGAGAAAATTTCATTGGCTTTATGGGTAAGAATGAGACAATCACAACATGTCACACACCATAAATCAATCTTTGAATTACACTACAAGGGGTGCAAGACAGATGAATTCACAGGGGTTACATTACCTTAGYAACACCTAGTTTTCTGCAGGCTTCTAGAAATGARTCAACATTTTTCTGACACTTAGTCATGGTGAGTTTTGGCTTGAAAAGAAATATAAAAAAAATTATTACCTTAACACAAAAAAGTTATCAGAGAGTATACATTTAATAACATTTAAGACTAACAAAACAGTTTTCCAGAGAAAGAGTTGTGTAAAGAAGATAAGTTTAACACCGTAAAAAAGTATTTATTTCCCATACTTTTTTACGGTGTTAAACTTATCTTYTTTACACAACTGTTTCDTTAGAAWCACCGACGCAGCTCACACTAGTTTACCGCTAGTTCCCACCATTTTCCAGTGACAGTTCTCAGTCTATTTACTATAATTAGTATTTCTTGTATTTCTATATCCTTACCACACCAGCTGAAGGTATATGTATACTTGGTATAGTTCCTTTGCATACAAGGTTGATTAGATGGCAAAGTACAACACCATCTGCTAGAGAAGCTGGTAAATCRTCAGGTAGAGTCACCTTTAATCTACTTTCAAGTGCCTGGAAACACAATATCAATAGTTTTTTAGATGTCTTTGATAGGKGTCTGATCTCTTTATGTATTTTATAACCCCCTTCAAACACAGGCAACATAGGCATTGAAGAGACATAGAAGTTAAAACTTTGGTTTCAGTGTCAATGCCRATAATTACTGCTCATACTATTTGGCCATTGGAAAAATAATTGTACCTCTCTAAGAATTTCTAGCTTTTCAAACTCTTCCCTAGCACTGTCGTACATTCGCTTGATAGTGAAGTTAGGATCTTCTTTGTTTTTGAGGCTAACAGGCACTGTAAAGAGTTCAAAATAATAAAATACTATCAAGTTTGGTAGGTAGTATTGTGGCACAGATCGATGACAGGAATACTTACAWGAACGAACACTCCCTTTATTTGTCCTTTTGTGAATGTTATGAAAAATACTTTCCTGTAGAAAACAAGCATGACAATGAAATTCTTATCAGAACATGCACAAACCCATAACAATATCCCAGAAAAATTAACAAATRAAACAGTAGCTTGGAGAAACAAAAAATAACATGACAATCCATTCAATTCTACAGTAACTTACTTCCCAATCAGCTTCAGGAGATCTTGGCTCTTTGTCAACCTTTGACTACAAAAACATCCAAAATATATTATTGAAGAAAAAAGCAATCATTTTAGCATGCATGCAGAAATATTAGAACTTTTACCTTTTGATTAAGGCTTTCTCTACTAAGAGTCTGTAAAACATAAAAATGTGTTTAAGAAAAGCASCAGTCACAGAACTCTTCAGTATCATAAAGTTTGCCATGTGTTATGTTGCAAGAACTTAATATTTCAAAAAAGTAAAATTTTATCACATGTCCAGCCCTTCTAATTGTCCACTTACACTATCTTTCTTCTGTTTTGACCTTTGTCTTTCCTCTTCAAGCCTTTGCCGTGATAACTGAGCTTCTCGCCTACTTTGCTGCATCATGGCTTCCCTTGCTTTCATGTCTTCTTCCTAAAAGAAAAAAA